CGATTAAAATTTTCAGTCCTAATTGATATAAAATATTTGGAACTTTGGTTTGAGGAATTACCAATTATTAGCTGATAGGTATGTTGAAAAACTCGAAAGAGAGAGAGAGAGTGTGTGTGTGTGTGTGTGTGTGTGTGTGTGTGTGTTAACAAGACACTTCAAAGATAAAACCCCGATGATGCCCACTTTTATGGATCCATTAATTGCTAGATTTATGCATGGGTTTTCGATTAAAGCTATACTAGTTGCCTTTTTTATCCACTAAAAGTGGACGGTACGAATAAATTTTAAAATACATTGACGCTTTGAGTACATTATCCTCTTTTCAAGAGAAAAGACACCCGTTTTTTTGGTGCACAGTAGGCAAACACTGCAATAGAAAAAAATTCGACGGTGGGAGTATGAAAGAGAATGAGAGAGAATGTGACTACTAGGACGCGAGATCAAAAAAACTTCTTTTCACCCATTCATACCAACCAGGAATATACGAAGAGAAGTCTCTGGTTTGTTTTCATGTGCCATGACAACTAAACTGCCTTCATAAAGTATCTGTATTTGTTTGCTTAGTTTTCGTTTGACAAGTACAGTAAAAACCCACGAGTAAGAACCTACATTTTCCGGGTTAGCCTAAACAGGTTCTTACATAAATGTTGGTTAACATAAATTTAGGCTATCTAGGTTCTTAAAGGTTGTCAATTTCTTGCAAAAAATTATGTCACTGCTTATAAGAAGGTTTTAGTGATCATCACCCTTAAATTTGCATACCTAATGATTGCTTTTTTTTTAATATGACCATAACAGAGATCTATTCTCACATGGATTTTAATTTCTTGAGTCAAAACAACTTTATGATTGTGCTGTATGCATGTCATAAGTTTTAACATTAGAATTGAAATGTAGCAACTACTCATCCAGATTGATCTTACATTTAATATACCATTTCTCTTTAAGTAAATATTTTTAAATGATTTTTGAAAATAAGAACCTTTCTCCAAATTTTAGGCTAAAGAGGTTCTTATATAGAGGGGGTCTAAATTGCAAATTTTAGCCTAACAGGTTCTTAAATCTTAGGTTCTTACTCGTGGGTTTTTACTGTACCTCAATTTCTTACTATTTTCTTGTTGTACCACTATTGCAATAGTAACCTTTCCTATTTAGGCAAAAAGACTTTCAGCTTACAACCCTCCTTTCTATTTATTTGTTCCGAGTTACAAAGTCATCAAACAGTACTCGAGCATATTTTTGGAAAGAAGAAATACAAAAGGGATGGAAAAGCAACAATTTATAAACACTGAGATTAAGGGGTATATCGAAGATACGTCGTTTCTTGGCCATCTTAGCTTAAGAAGAAACAAACGGCAAACTGCGGTGATAAACATAAGGAAATATGAACGCATTTCGGTAAAAGTCTTAAAGTCTTTTTTCTTTCCAAAAATGCGTTCATATTGCCTTATGTTCATCATCGCAGTTTGCTTTTTGTTTCTTTTTAAGATAAAGTATATATTTTCCAAGTTTCATATGCTTCCTTTAGAAATATCAGCCTGTCAATACTTTGGCAAACAAGCAGTGCCGGATCCAGACTTTGAGATAAGGGTTGGGGGGGGTCATCCAGCCCCTTTGATAAGGGGGAAGGGGGGTGGTTCTCGAAAAAAAAATTTTTCGGCCCTTCGGGCCCCAGTTTGGTCTACAAATAAGGGGGGCGGCCCCCCCCCCCCGGGCCCCTCCCCTGGATCCGCCACTGAACAAGGCACCAATACCGAGTGTTTGCCTCATATAAGGGAATCCGGAATGCGGGAAATTTGACTTGTGGAATCGGGAATCATGGGCTTTGGAATCCGTAATAAACCTCAAGGAATCTGGAATCCCACTGATGACTGGAATCCGGAATCCAAGTTCCACTAACAATGAATCCGGCATCCAGTACCTGGAATCCCGAATCCAGAAAGATAGACAGATAGATAGTTTATTCACCTCAAAAACTTGCAGCCAAGAGCTGAATTGCGATAAGGTTTACAAATACAATAATAAACTGTACAAAGTTACAAATAATTTATATAAGCGCTTTACAACTAATGATCCCTCATAATTTACGATTTTAAAACTGTTATAAAATCAGAAATTCAAAAGCAGTGCTTCGAGTTCCTATATACAATAAGAAACAAAATTATATCTAGTTTTCAACTACTGTAAACATAACTTAAAAGAAAACTATTCTTGCATCTTTCAGTGTTACACTTTGAACGAATAAATGTTTTTTGTTCTCTCAGAGAGTAGCTTGGCTGGTACATGTACTTATTTGGAAGTAGTTTGTGGAGACTGTGAGATTGATTAGCACATATTTCATCGAACACCTTTGCCGCAATTGCCTCTCTTCTATCTTATGGTGTTAAAGTTAAAGTTTTCCAAGGCGTGGAATCCAGAATCCAAGACTGTCCGGGATTCCGGTACTTGGGACATCAGTGTGATGAAAAGCAACTTTTACTGCAAGAACGCACGTATGAGTCTCGGATGTGTCACGCCATTCACCATCCCTCCAGTCTCCCCACGCAAGAAAAACAGGTATACCCGCAGTCCTAAATACCTCTCTTACACCAAGGAAAAAGAGCTTATTATCATACATTATTATTATTGTTACCATTTGACTCCCATTTATGTTAGCCCTCGTGAACTAACGGCAGCGTGGCCGAGTGGTTAGAGCGTTGAAATTGCGAGTCAGAGGCCCCGAGTTTAAGTCTCGCTCTGACCGCTAGCTGGATTTGTTCACGGTTGTCCCGAGTTCAAATCCTCGAATATGCTTGTAAATAGCCCGCTTGTTTGCCTGCGGCCAGTTGGGATGCTTAACCCTGTTTAAAAGTTCAATTTGAATTATTTGTTTCAGGTAGTTGCTCGGCCCCACTAGCATTAGTGCTATAAATACTGCCAAGGGTAATTAACGGAATTATTATTATTATTATTATTAAAGTTATTATTATTATTATTATTATTATAACCCAGTTTAGCGTAATTAACTCTATTTTATCAAGGCAACTATAGCACTTTATGTCGTCCGACATACCGTAAAATTCCGAAAATAAGCCCCTCCAAAAATAAGCCCCCCAAACCGTTAACGCAAAAAACCCTCCGTTAAATCGCCCCTCCAAATATAAGCCCCCCAGGGGCTTGTACTTGAAAAATTGCCCTCAAATACAAAGTAAAACAAAGTAAAAACGGTAAATTTACTTCCAACTATAATGCTAGCCCAATCGATTGTTGAGACGCAAATTTCCCTCCGTAGATAAGCCCCTCCGAATATAAGCCCCTCCAAAAATAAGCCCCTCAGAAAGGACCTTTGAAAAATGTAAGCCCCGGGGATTATTTTCGGAATTCTACGGTATGCGACAATGTCAAATTCGTTATGTATTTATATATTTTTTGTTCTGCTTTAATACATGTACCTTTTACTTAAATTTGTATAAATTACCGTATGATTTGTATATTTTACAAGATCGACAAATTATATATAAAAGATTCTACTAATTTTATTTAAGTACATTCCGTGTTTAACAACTTCGAAAACGCACGAGGCAAATATTGCTCTTAATATTTTGTACGGAACAAAAATTCTAACATCAAGAAATTATGGTGAATGGTTTTTAGTGCGATAAAATCTCATTCACCAATAGTTGGCCAGCCGGCAAACCCTAGAAAATTAACATTCGCTTTCTTTTTCCGGTTTTTTAATTCATTCCGCAATTTCTTAGTTTTCCTTGTGTGAACTCAGTGAGAAGTTGGAAGTTCAACTCTTATTTTCCCCAGTACGCTCGAAAATGTCGGGTCAACAGGGTACATACATCAAAAACTACTCTTAAAAAGGAAGAATTGCATGAAACGGATTCTTCTTCCGACGGAACGAGTCTTTTCAACAACATTTTTCACAAACACAATTCGTTGAATCAAATGGCGCGCTTGGATAATTATGGCAAGATTTGTTTTACCGTGAAGAGTCCACCACAGTGGCTGCAAAAATTGCATTCTGTCTTGCTGTTTATACTTGTAAAGAAAACGATGTGACTACTCTGGCACAGTCCAATAAAAGAGTCAGGTGAGTACTCCAAGTTAGTTCGCGGCACCTTGAGGGTTTCAACCTTGGGGAAGCAATTGAGCGCCAAGCGAGACACAAATGACTTCTGATTGGTAGATAAAATTGTCGTTAGAGTTTGTAAGCAGTCAATGAGCAAAACCAACGCAACCGCAATCTCAATGTATTTTAAGCCACAACATTATCACTTATTACAGTCCCAGAATAGGAGAGTAATTTCGGCCTTTTCATCTAGAAAGTCAACAGAAGGATACCCCTGTCGAAACGGCACGGGGAGCGAAGAGAATCTCCGAGTCCGCTTTCTTGAGGGCTATCTCTACGGCAAAGCAAGCGTGTGGTTCTTTTATGTGATCTCCCGAGATATAAGAGGGTTCACCTGTAGTCTTCAACAGTTTCTGTGGATATACTGATTAATTTTATTAGATAATCAGCTATACGAGAAACAATCATGGTTTACAAGCTTTTGTCTCTCCTCAATTAAGATTGCTTATAGTTCAGCTTCGTGGAGCGGATAAGCAACCTTCATCAAATCACTGAACTGTACTCAGAACCACTGAACAAAGATCAGATTCATTTAATTCGAACGAATAACAAATTCGTCTTTGACTTGGGACGGAAGTAAAAACCTACCGTTTGACGCTTATGTCAAAGTTGCGTGAATTATTCCTGGAGAGAAATATTTCTCCTCTTTCCTCATCAATCGGTATAGATTTCGCTCGTAAAAAATTGAATAGTACTCTTTAAAAGTCCGAAGATTTTGCTTATTAGCTTATCGACCAAGAATGTTTCCACCCGGAAGAAAGGAAATCGCCGGGCATGAAGACAATAAAAATACTGCGTTGTGATTGGCCGATTGCCTTAAACACTTGTCGCTCTACAAAAATAACTCGAAAATTACGTAATGTGGATTTCCATCCTTTCCAGCGCGGGAAATTGAGAACTCGAGGATCTTTTCAAGTTTTAGCGAACATTGCTCAAAATTGTTGGATATTCAAGTGCTATTATGGTGAAGCGTAGCGAGGGCGTCGGATAATATGGTGACAGGGTGTTTTGTTTTGCTTGTGTAACTGGAAAAGCCTCCAACAGGCGTTGTCTATACACTTCATAAATGCTCTATGGTGAAATTCACACGAATGACACAACATGCTGTCAACTTTCATAGATGGATTTTCGTGTTAGCGATTCTTTTCTCCGCGGCAGTGACCAACGGTAAATCTCTTAAACAAGCCTGTCGATATTTCTTTAAGGGATTTCTCTTCCATTTGTTTTTCGTGCCCATTAATCTTGCAAGATCGAGCTTTAGACGTGACGAATTGTGATTCTGTGATTCCTTGGAGCAAATCCATAAGTGTGGCCGCGCGAATGAAGAGCGTTGAGCTGCTCTTTCAAGCGGTTTGGCATTTTTTTATCACTATCTTGCAAATCGATTTTCTGACCGACTAATTGTGGACACTATTGGATATGAAAGAGTTCACTTGACCAACATATGTTTGTTTTTGTTTTTGACTAGTAGGTACCCAACTTCAATCAAAGCTATGCACGAACCAGCAAGCCTCCAAAAACAGGAATGCTTTTAGTTTCCGCACATTTGGAAATGTTTCTACCCTTGAGGACTGCGTGGATCTTTGTTGCGGAGATGAAACTTGTGAGCTGGCGATTCTCTCCAAAGGATTCCACTGTTTTGGTGTGTCCTGCTTCGAACCGAAAGTTTGTCATAGAATTTTGGATCGCTTGTTAATGGACGATGAAAGGGAAATTGGACGAAGCTCGAGAAATACAGGTAAAATATATTACTTTTAAAATAGTAGAGTTTCCTTCTCGAATGTTCTGTCGAGTTTGTTGTTGAAATCTTTAAATGCAACAGTTGATTAACTCCAAATGAGAGAGAGAGAGAGCTGTAGTTTCCTTCGCTGTTGCTGATTATGCCGTTCCAGGTAGTTGTAACTTGTCTTTCTTAGTCTCCAAATAAAATCCTAACTCTAACCATTCAAATGGAAGCTACTGTTGGGCTTCTTATTTTGCAGTACAAGGTAGTTGTGACTTTTGATTCTATGGATGAAATCCTATGGTGTGACCATTCATATGAAAGCTATTGTGCAGTACTTTCCTCAGTTACTGTTTATTGCGCTGGCAAATTTTTAGGTTTATATGTGGATAAAATTTTTCTTTGAAGTATTAGTCTACGAGATTATAACCATGGTGTAAAAATTAATGTATTACATTTTCACTGATTTAACATTTTTCAAAAGAAAATACGTGGGAATGTATGGTTTTTATACGGCAGATCTGAAGTGAAGTGAGGACCTTCAATTTTGCAAAAATTCTCCATTCTTTCTTAGAGGGGCTGCATCACGGATGTCTAGTGTATTTTGTTCTTAGAGAGTTAAAATCAAACGACAAACTCGAATTTGTACCAAGTGACCAAGTTTTCCCTTTACTTGTCGTTTACTGTTCGTTGATTTCTACACATAAATAAGTAGCTTCACGCAATGTATTACCATAAGAATTGTTTTTGTTATCTGCTCATTTTCTATTTTGAGAAACTCTCAACTTGAATCTTGCGGTTGCCTTTTGCCGTATATACGTGAAGCTTAAACTCCCCATTAATGCCAATTACGCGGCCTTATTCGCAATGGAACTTGAAAGTTACTTGTAAACAGCAAAATCGCAGCTTCGTGTCAAACAAATATATCTCCCAAGCAGTATATTTAACAATTATTCCTCGAGCCCGAATGGGCTGTTGACTCAGAGGCCATGAAGGTGAGAGGAATAATTGTTTTAGTAAAGTTGGTAAAAAATATCGAGACAAAACAACTTTAGCTTTAGCTCTAGCAACTTTAGTGGCCGTTGTTTTGGTTTTCAAAGCCGGCGCGTTTCGCTAATAGTGGGCTATAACATATAGCCTAGTACTAGCTCAACCAGTCAGAAGGCAGCATTGATAATAGACCACTACTTTGAGTTTAGTAATAAACGTTACAACCTCAAAATAACAAGGTGTCAAAAAACACCATTGCAATTTCACGTTTGTCCTTCCGTTCCTCCTTCTGTATTTGCTGTGTTATGTATACCTTTTTTTCATTTTCTGAGCTGTTATTTATATGGTATACTCAGTTTGGTGGCGGTTTCCACAGCTGTTTAAATTTTGTTAAATTTCGTTTCTTTTATTGCTCCAGATGAATTCTGTTAAATTTATCACTCTGCACAGGCAACAATGATGCGCATTTTGCCTTTTACTTACAGATGGACACCTTTCAAGTTAACATAATGATGAGTAACAATAATAGTTCCTTTTTTACATGATGCCTAAAACGGCAGCTCCACAGTGAATTCTTTAAATGAGAGATTTGGCTTTGAAATTAAAATTCCTTGATTTCTGAAAGAGTCCGTTTGAAGCTATGTTGCTTTCTTTCCTCCCACGAGAAAAAATGTCTTTGGAAGAAACTTAACTCTGGTAGGTCGGTACTTCGTCAAATGTGCAACCTCAGGGTTACGTGTGCGTATTTTGTTAGCTGAAATGTTTAGTGTAGAAAGGTGATTTTGAGGGGTGTGTGCAACAGGTGGGGGTGTTCTGGAAATTGTTTTTAGACTGTTCAATTTGATGTTGTGAATCATGTGAATTGGCAAATTGTGCGCTTTCTTTGCCTGTCTTGCTTCCAGAGTTACCAAAAATTTTATCAAAATGTAGTTTGCTAAAGTTCTTTTCCAACTACTATCTATCTAAACATTATCGATGACCAGCCTGCTTAGGATATATCCATACTCTAGGACGTTATTCTTAAGGGTCTAATGAAAGTTAACAGTCGTTTATTTTTATAAAAATCAACCCGAAACATAAACGTTTTTGCATGAAGATAGGCTTTTAGGCACTTAACTTTAGCTTACACATGAAATTGCACATTTTAAAAGCCTTCAGATGCAATTTGTACAACCGTTTCATTTTGTTCGAGTGTAAAAAATTAAGAGGTGCTAACTAAGAAGCGTAAAATGCTTTGAAAGCTCCTGGTGGCTCGAGCGGGTGGCTGTATAGAAATGAGTGCTAAAATTATCAGAACTTGTTATTTTTGATGTAGTCAACCAAGCAAATAAAAGTCCAACTTTGATTTCAAAAACAAAATTGTTTGGAACGACCCATATGTGGTTAATTTGAATCATTATTTACAGCTCCTGTATTGTTTTATTATTATAACTCAATGTAAAACGGATAAGAACAAGATGCTCGATGCAATTACCATATACATGCAACTAATTAGTCAATTTGGAGAGATTTTTAATTAATAGGGCTGTGTTCTTCAGAAAAGTAGCACAACAGCGAAATAAATCTCTCGCTTAAGCAGGAAAATGGCTGCATATATTCGTATGAAAACTGCCAATACTAATTACAAAATAGTAGTAGTATTTCTTCTTTTGGTACGTAATGATGGCGCAGTGGAGAAAGCAGTCGCCTGTTATCAGTTTACCCCGAATTTTAAATTCGAAGGCAAAGCGATTGTGGTTTGAATCTGTTCTCCCTTACTCCGGGAAGAGCAAAATCAAAACGAACAAGTATGAACATGAACAGCTTCCCTTTTGACGGATAAATATCTTGACTTGGGAGCTGTTTTCTTAGAGGGAAGAAAATCCTAGAAGGCGGAACAACTTTTCGTTGGTACCCGGTAGAGAAGGAATTAAAGATGGTGGGCGACAAAAACAAAAATGCATTTTTGGCCCTTCTACACTCTTTACTGGCGTTAATAACTGACTTCCTTTGAGCAGAATTATCACAATAATCAGCTCCTAGTAACCCCAAACGAAATGACTGGCCTTTATCGCCGTGATTACCCACTGAACGACCCGCCGCCATTTTTGTCTGGTTTGTCCCAAGTACTAGAATCTTCCTAGAGAAGGCAGTTTACATGGTGCAAGGATCTTCCTAGAACAAGCATCTTACCACCTCTCAGCTAACGAAAGAAGATCCTTGCGCTAGCGACAGGCAAAACACTTTGCTCGTAAACTGAATACGGAAAAAAATATGGCGCTAGGACAATCCGCCTTCTAGGATCTTCCTCCGTCCTAGTAACCAGCCCCTTAGTATATTAATCTTTGGTACATCGCCTATACTATTTTATGGGGTCCATACGTTCTCTTCAAATGTCTCTTTCTCCAAATTGCTTCTTGGTTTCATTCAATCCAAACTCCTGGTTTCCATACTAATCTTTCAAAAACCATGTTTTTTTCTTGTCAGTACAGTCGACTCCCGATAATTCGAACCCTCACTAACTCGAACCTCGCGCTAACTTGAACCAAAATCGATTTCCCCTGGATTTCCGTCATACATTCACTGTAATTTTTCCCTCGGTAACTCGAACCCTCGATAACTCGAACTCCCACTAACTCGAACCAATTTTCGTTTCCCCTCAGGTCATTTTCTATATAATTTTACCCACGATAACTAGAACCATGTTTTGAGCCCTTAAAAAGTCGGGAAAAAAGCCGTCTACGGGCGTCCGAAACATCGAATTTTGGATTTCCTATTGACGTGTTGTAGGAGTATAGTTTACTGGTGGAGGCTGATGTTGATTGTCACAAGCTAACGTGAAGCAGCTTTTCCTTCTCAAAACAGTAAACTTAGGCTATGTTTTGTTACGTTACGTTCTTATTTATAATCTAGAAGTATCATATAATTTTCACTTGACGTTTCTACAATTAAATGTGATTAAAATGTTCACTGTGCAGTAAAAACTGTTTTTTGCCTTACTCTTGGCTATTTTCTTCGAACTCCAGACAACTCGAACCTTTTTTCGATCTCCCTTGAAGGTTCGAGTTGTCGGTAGTAGACTGTATATAATAATTCCACTTTTTAATTTTAGGAACGAAAGATTTTATCAGACACACTTCTCAAATAGCGAACCCAAAATGCCCGCAACGATTTGTACCTAGTTTCCAGGTCCTTCTCCTTGGAAGGAGAAGTCCACGTGATGTTTATAAACTGCGTGCGCAGCCAACAGATGCCAGCCAATGTAGCGCTCAGTGCTGTAGGTCACGCGACTGCTCGCTATCCTTCATCGAAGATGACGAGTGCTTTGGCGTTACCGGTGCCAGTGGAAACGGTACAAATTCAGAACAAGGATCAAGAATTGGTTTGCAAATTGCCATAATTGACAGAAATAAAGGTTGGTCAGTTTCGTTGAAAATTTTAAAAAGGATCAATTCATTAACACCGGCTTAGATATATAAATACGTCCGTAGCACTCTAATCTCAGCCTCCCTTAGCATTCATCTAAACTAAGGTGTGGTAGTAAATGGTTTGTAGGTCGCATTTACTCAGAGTAAATTTAAGTATTTTACAGCAGCTAGTAATTGAATGCGAAATGTGAATTTCTGAACTTCTTGGTTTGTTTTGTTTTGTTTTTTCACCTACACCTGCTCCTTGTCACTTGAGACTGAGTGAGGATTGCACTGAGTTAATGTTTTTGTTGAGAATTCTACAGCAGTTTATAAGTGATTTTCAAAGTAATAGATGGCCTTGCTTTACCTTGCTAAAAAGTCTCGCTCGATTGTCTTAACCCGCCGCCCGGTTAGCTCAATGGGATAAGCGCCGGTCTGCTGAGCGGGAGGCCGTAGGTTCAAACCCCGGCCGGACCAACACTCAGGGTCTTTAAATAACTGAGGAGAAAGTGCTGCCTTTGTAATGACATCTGCAAACGGTTTGACTTTCTAGTCTTCTCGGATAAGGACGATAAACCGTAGGCCCCGTCTCACAAGCCCTTGCACATGTAATAAATCTGTGGGACGTTAAAGAACCCACACACTCTTCGTAAAGAGTAGGGCACGTAGTGCCCGGTGTTGTGGTCTATCTCACTTTCACACTCATGTATGGGGGTATCATCACTCACTCCATTATTTGTAAACTGCACCTTAGCAGTCTGGCAAAGTCCCCCAACCAGTGTTGTAAATTATCCCTGAAAAGCCCAGAGGGGAGTGGATAATATGATATTTACATTTACATGAGAAGATGGAGTAATCCCAAGCAAGAACCAAACGCAGTATGCTCGCAAGCCTTAAGCTTTCTCGGCACTTGCTCCTGCCGCCTTGATGTTCTTTATGGCGATATCTTACCGGTCTCTTTATGTGTTATATGACTGACCAGAAAACGAAAGCCAGGTTCTAGTTAGACAAAAGCATAGACACGAGCCCGAGCATACGAAGCTTGTGCAGCTACTGTGAGGACTACCGCAACATAAGCTTTTGCATAATAGTGTGAAAACTTTGTCAATGTTCTTGTTGTGCTGAAATAATGCTGACGCATAGGTTGATGTTATTCCGAGAGAGAAATTTGCGACATTTTTTTTTCTTCTTCTTCTCTACTGTCATTTATCTAAACGTGGCGGTGTCCAAATAGAAAGCTCTTGCCGCTACTTTGGACACTCCACACATATGTACGCTATCTCTTCGTAGCCTAATGATTACTCATTACCCATTTTTTTCTCCTTCTATTTGTATATAACTTGTGTAAATGCCCTAAAAAGAAGTGTAAAATGAATTGAATTGAATAGCATAAGAGCAAGCTGTTTTGTAAATATATGAAATAACTACTTTTTGTCATAATTTTTGCAGAGGTATCCAGAAGCCTGGACGACGATGACGAAGATCCCGATGAACTGGGTTCCGATGATGCAGACAAAGACACCCTTACTACCAAGCCGGTGGTCTCCACTATAAAATCTGAATCAAAGCTTAGACACTTCGCCGATATTCCTAAGACAGGAAAAACTCACAAGCTGACAGCGGGTAAAATTGCGTCGAGCTCAGCCAAAGAAACTAAACGAACGTTCGCATCTGGTGCGCATATCGCTGCCAAATCAGATGTAACATATTCGAGGGTTCCGTTGAGGAAAATGGGTGTCACAGAAAAACGTAAACAAATATTACCATCGGGCAAAGACAGTTTTTCTCACGTAACAAGTAAAGCCAGAGCGTTAAACGTAAATGGAGCTGACAAACACTCCTCAGAAGTGTCCAACATGGTGAGACCCTCTGATTATCCTGCCAGAAAAGAAACGACAATCCACGGACATACACGGGGAAACGAAACACCCAAACATGAGCGACATTCTAGTCCCACTTTAGTTGGTAATCGTCAGTATCAAGCCAGTGATCTATGGATTTTCAAAGGGTCGAAATTTGACCCAAAGAGCCGGAAGGTTCGTGTTCAAAGTTTTGCCAGTCATTCTGCAGAGAAGAGCTTTTTGAAAGATGACGAAGTAGGAAGTTCTCAAAACTTTGATAGCAGCAGTTATGAAAAGGAGGGTTTAAGTGCCGACGGGGAAATGAGTGGAGATGATGTCGTAAGTGGAGACGTTGACTCAAGTGGCGATGGTGATTTAAGTCGATATGGTTACTTAAGCGGGCACAGGCTTCCAATTAGAGCCGTTAAAGATTCCAGTGAAGGTTATAACGATGTGAGTGGAGAACGAGAAGGCCAGAACGACTCTGAGGACGAATCAGGTTATGATTTAAGTGGAGAAGATAAACGTTTTAGTGGAAACGATGATGATTTTAGTGGAGACAGCGTTGACACGATGACCTATAATCCAATGCGACACAAACTATCTGCCGGGGAACGCGAGGAATACGAGACAACCAGAAAAACGGTTGACGTTAACTTTTCTGGTTCTGGTGACGGGGAAAGTGATGAAGGTTCTGGAGATAACAGTGAAATTCAGAAGAAAACGTCCTTGAATAAGAACAACAAAAAACGTAAAATGGATCTTGTTGAAGCTTTAGATGACCTTGATGAAGGCACCACTAGAAAATCAGGACGCGTTGTTCCTTTACCTCAACGCGGAAGTGCGACGATGAAAAGCAAAGTTAAAGCAAACAGCAGTCATCCAAAATCCCAAGAAGATGTCAAAGAGATAAAGGGAAGTAAAATTATCGAGCATCTGAATGATCTCGGGTCTGGGGACACCGATAGCGAAACATCTTCTAAAGAAGTTGCAAAATTGCATCGAGAGGCAAACAGTTCAAGAGAGGAAGGCGAAAAGAAGGTAAACAAGAAACTCCGAAAACTTAAACACAGAGACAATACCAGAGAGAAAAGTGACCTTATGGAAGAAGTAGACGCTCTCGGATCAGACGGTGATGGTAATGAGAAAATATCGCAAAGCGTTGAACATTTGCTGCCCGAAACTATCAATTCGACAAAGAAACGGGAAAAGGTAGACAACAAGCAGATCGGTCCTAAACAAAAAGACAGCCTAAGAAGGAAGAGTGAACTTGTCAATGATCCAGATGATCTTGGATCAGACGATGATGATGAAAAAAAAGCGAGAAAAGCTACACATTTTCTTCAAGAAACTAGAACTTCGAAGACAGCAAAGACTTGGCAAAAGGCAGGCAAGGAGAACATGAAATTGAAAGAGGGCAGTATAAGTAAGAAAAGTACCATAGCTGAAGTTCCGAATAGTCTTACATCAGCTGATCGTGATGATGAAAGCAATCGGAAAGTTTTGATTGCGCATAAACAAACTAACATTTCAGAGGCTGAAAGCCAAAGTAAAACGTTCCTCCGAAAACAAGTGATTGTTAAATCCCAAAAAGAAGGATTCAAAAGGGAGGAAATTGAGTACGCTGAAGATCCAGATGATCTTGGGTCAGATAACGATGAAGAGGAGAAGTCATCAAAGGCGCTTTCTCGATTGTCTTACCAAATAAGCACTCCAAAAGTGACAAAGAACAGAAAAAATCATCAGGCCCTCAAAAAAGGAGGCATTGTTAAAGAGAAGATGGATTTTGTCGAGGATGTAGATGAGCTTGGGTCGGATGACAGTGATCCGCTGTCGGCCAATCAAGACACTTCAAGGAAAATGGCGACGAGATTACCTCCGCAAACTCAAGTTTCAAGGACAGGCAGAAAGCAACAGAAATTCAATAGGTCAAGTTCGACAAAAGAAAAAATAGATTTTGTTCAAGACTTACACGATCTCGGCTTGAATGACGACAAGAGTGGTACAAGTAAGTTAAGAAAACACGACGCATTGACGCCAACAAAAGTTACCAAACTATCGAAAACATCAAACCGTTCGATATCGGGCGAGAAAAAGAAGAGTGTCAAATATCTGAAATCAAGCGACGGACAAACTGCGAGTAATCTTAACCTTGCTGAAGATTTGGACGATCTCGGAGCAGACGACGATTACTTTGATGAAACTAAACCAGAACAACCCGCCTTAAGTTTGCCTGTGAGAACTAATGACACAACAGGACAGATACCTAGTGTGCAGCGGACGTCCAGTGATGGGCACATGGGCTCACCGTCACGAAACAAGGACACAAAACAGGCGTCCACTACTTTTGGGCTATCAGTGGGTGATAGTAATAAATCGCACATTGTGTCAAGACAGTCAGGGCACAGTGTTTCAGGTGGTTTAACTCATCATGGTATAAGTCGTAAAGGTGGTCATGTGTTGGGCCCAATTCAGGTCAAAGGCAAGAGTGATCTAACAAAGGCGAGTCGTGTGAAAGACGAAAAACAGAAACAACAAACTGTGCACATCGAGGAAAAGGAACCTGGACAAGCTGCTAGCCTAAAACAAGTGAAAAAGCCTTCACCCTCGATAAAGGCAGAAAATATTCTGAATTCTAACAGCCGAGAAGCAATTGTTCAAAATAAAAGAGCAAAAGGAAACAGCACAAACCCTCATCAAGCAAAGCTGACAATCACAGAACCTACAAAAACCAAAAAGGTCCCTACATCTAGTGAGACGCTAAAGACGATAACTAAGAATCGCTCAGATGGTGTTCTACTCAACAATCAAGCAACTTTAACAAGGACCAAGACAGTAATGGCACCCATAGCATCTAATGACAAACTGAAAGTCAGTGTGAAAGCTCATATAGCCAACAAAAATCATCTCAATGTAACATCTAAAGAAAGGGCAGAAAAATCAACTTTGAGAGATGAGAACAAGAGCGCGATAAAAGCAAACAAGCCCAAGGAAAGCGTTGCCTTAAAAAGGAAAGACACTGCAAAACAGAGGAAAACACCATCCATAGATAGCCACATAGATCGTAGTACATTTGCTTCCAGAAAAGGGACGAAAAAGTCCTCTAAGGTGTCTTCAAAATTCGAGGTCATAGATGATCTTATGAAGTTTGCCCATCGCAAGAAATCAGTAAAAAAGAAAGTTGAACACTTTGTTGCGTGGGGAAAGAAAACCTCTTCTGGTAAAACGTTTCCTCGGCAACAAGGTCGTGAGAAGGTTTTAACAAATGACAGTGGTACAATAAGAGGGAAACAACCGATGACTCTTCATCCTACTAAAACTAAGACAATTTATCCTGTGCATCGAAAAAAGGTAATTATCAGCCATCTGCAATCTTCTGGTAAGCTGGCAGCGAAAAAATCACAGACAACAGCAAGTCCCCCAGTTTCACGTCATTTTCCACTTACAACGCAGTTCCATGCATCGTCTAAAAAGAACGGTTCTTCGTCGTCTACTCTTGCCTCCAAACCTCATTTCCGAACGCAGGAAGCAAATCCTCCAGAAAGAAATCAAAACACCTATAACAGAGCATTTTTATCATTAAAACAACGCAGTAACGAGCAAGTGTTGGATAACAAGAGTGAACTCTTGGCTCATTTCCGTAATGTGAACGGTAGTGATGGTGTTGAGTTTTCAGTTAAAACTAGTGGTAGCCACCACAAAGAAAAACACTCGAAGCACGATTTGTCTTTTGACCTGGATGATATAGGAGATGCTGATTTCGACATAATGATGTCAAATGATATCCCACACAAACATGTACCTGAAAAGAAAAAGAGTAAACAATCGAGGGAGAAGCACACGAAGAGTTCTGACGAAAAGCAGCATGACCCTAGTCCAAATAGCCTTAAAAAGAAAAGAAAGAACAGTGATGGAGAACTGAGAAATAAGGGAGAGGACAAAAGTGAAGAATCAGAGCCGGATTCTAAAACACACCACTCGCATCACAAACACAAGGAAATAACTAACGATATCATCACCCGCAAACGTCATCATCATCATCATCATCTCCCCCTCAAAGAAACTGATAATAATGTTGACAGTAACGATCGCGATGAAACCCATTTTTCCAAAAAGGTTGAGAAAGGTAGGAGCCATGATGAGAAGAAATCACACCGTCATGACAGACACGATACATCTAACAGTGCTGATGAGAAGGACAGTGAACACGTGCATCACCATCATAAGAAGCACAGGCATCGAGCCACGGCAGCTAGAAAGGATGACTTTAGCGATGATAAGGACAATGATGAAGACTCTAAAGTTAAAAGTGACCATAAAAAGAGAAGGAAAGAACGTGATAAGGCCAAAAACGATGATAAATCAGAGAAAGGTGAAAAGGTTGAACATCATAACCATCACAGTCACAAAGCACATTCGAAGAAGTATGATAACAATGACTGGGAAGGGAATATCATTCCTGGAAAAGTAAAGCTTGTTTATGAGAAGGATAGTGACAGAAAACGACATCATAAACATAAGACTCGAAGCGAAGAGGAAATAAATCCCCACAAACGAAAACATGTTTTCGAGGCAAAGAAAAGTCGCGAAGATTCTGAAAATAGCAAAGACGATAGTCATTCTCATCATGAACATCATACTCAAAGTGATGATTATAACCAGCGCAAAAAACATGCGAAAGACCACGAGGCTGTGAAAAAAGATGATTCAGAAGAAAAACTAAAGATTACAAATGACAATGAAGAAGGACATGCAGAGAAAAAGAAGGAAGTGAATTACGAAGCGATTAAGACCGGACGGCATAGGTTTGTTCAACACGAAGACGATAATGAAGGAGAGACCCATCAGGGAGACGATTATGACAGTGATCGTGAAGACGGTAGTTCGTGGACAAGTAAAAAAGATGACAAAGACGATGAAAATGAAAAGAGCAACGACAATGATAACAACAGCGATGAACGTCGTAAGAGCGACGATAGTGAAGATGTAAATGAGAATGATGCTGATGACGATGATAAAGAAGAACGTCCTAGTAAAGAAACCAAGAAGAATATGGTTGTTTTAGGCGAGGATTCTGACAGTGACGATGATGATGATGATGATGATGAGCCGAAACATTCCAGAAAAGTTCATGAAAGACGTCATGGTCACAAGCACGTGACTGAACATAACATCGATGAACAGGAAAACGAAAAGGATTATTTGGAACATAAATACCACGAGGAAAATCATAAAACTGCTCTTCATCATAGGCGTAGACATAAATATCACAGGCATTTGAAAGCAAAACACAGACATCACGAATCAGACTATGAGAATAAGGAAGATGATTATAACGATGAAAATGATGACGATGATGAGGCAGAATCTACAAAATCTTTTATTAAAAACAAGAAAGAAAAAGAGGATGAAATACAAAGAGATCACTACGACAAAAAGAGAAATAGAAAGAAACAACATTATCATAATACAGCCGAGAGCTCTGAAGAAAGCAAGGACTATCGCGCCAGAAAATTTCACAGGTCACATCATCGTCATCATCATTTAAGACCAGTTGTTGACATTGATAGAATCAAGGAGAGACCTGCAGGCGGATACGAACCAGATGACGAAAAAGATCATGTCGGGAACGACGAAGAACACGATGAGGAGGAGAAATTTCCAAGGCGTCATCGTACTCATGAACACGGACCCGCTGAAGAAGAGAACGATAACGAAAATTTTCAACGAGAAAAAGAGGGCTCTGATGATCATTTTGCCCCACCTGAACATGACAGAGGAAGGTGGAAGTTCAAGGCAGAAGAGTATCACAGAGAATTTAAAGGCGCTTCTCATCAACTCGATAATCAAGATTTTTCCGATAATCGCTTTATGGGAGAAGAAAATCATAAAGGTTATCATCACAACCGTCGTCCGGAATATAACGAACGACCCAAATTTAAGCCGAGAAAGAGAAAAAAGGAAAGATGGAAGAGTCGTTATTACTACAACGATAATGAAGATCAGGATTATGAGGATTCAGGTGGATTATTTGACTCGTCCACATGGACACCCAATGAGAATTACGATTATGACGATTTTTATGGTGGGGAGGGCAATCATGAGAGGAGGCATTATCGAAAAAAACACCGCAAATACAAGAATCGCAAAGACAGGCAAAGCTATGAATACTGGGCTTACGGCAACCAGTATCCGTACTACGGTTACAAGTACCACAGGGTTCGGTCTAGGTACCAGAATAACCAGCGGCAACCGAATCCATATTATGACTGGCGTAACAGATACAGAAATTACAATGGATGGAAATCAACGCCCTCACATTGGTATTCGAACAAACAACCGTGGGATGGGACCAGGTCATGGCGACATCATCCAAAATGGACACAACGATTTGACGATTACAAGCCAACAGGTTACCAGTGGCACAAGTTTTACGATAACAACGATGATTATCGTGATAGAAATCAACCCAGACCCACTGCATACCCAAGAGAGGCGTCCACGTTTCTGCCACCCACGAGCTCAATATGGCAAAAACAGCTTGATGATTCTCATAGAGGGTTTATAGGAGATAAGGGGCTGTCTCAAAATCGGGAACCTGGTAATAATTATCAAGACTGGAGTAGATATAAACCGTCTGCTTCTTTAAATCAGGCTTCAAGTACTTACGGTCCACAGCAGCGTCCGCTAGCCGGTTTTCAGCCCCGACCTAATCCAGACGCTGTGAAGCCAGCGGACCAAACGCAACCGTTGGGAATATTGTCAAATTATGTTCCTCCTGCTTCTCAGCAAGGACCAGGTCGGATCGACAATCAGACAAGGTTTCGTCCAACGGTGAGGCGGCAGTATGCAGGCACCCCACCTCTCAAGATCTTATCACCAACAAATGATTTTATAAAAATAAAGAATCTTATGGATACATTGAACACTTCGTCCTCTGCTAGCAATATCCAGCCACCTACCAACGTCACAAGTAATGTTCAGAACAACGCTAACATAAAGAACGGTCTTCCCAAGACAAATGTTTCCAGCAGTGGTCAGGATGAAGATCAAAAGCGTCTGAATGGCTTCTTCAATGAAGAAAATGCAGGAAAGAAGTCAGACATTTTACGGCCAAAGAACAACAGTCAAGGACAGGCTGCAACGAATGTCTTGGGTAAGTGATGTGTCAGGCGTATTTATTTAAGAGGAGAAAATTGTGGTTTTAATTATTTCACATGTATCTCTCTTAATAAGAGATTTAATCTCATCTCATTCGTTACATAAAGATTTGCCTGGAAATGGGTTTATACCAATATTCATAAAATGGATGCTAACAATCGTTGTGACGCTCCAAGGTTCCAGTTGCTCTAAGGCGGTGTAAAAGTTAACTCTGGGTTAAGATCACCTTCGATTGGAATAATTGTCACTTGTCTCCTCTCATCCATGCCGTTACATTAAATTAACTGTCTGACGCGCCAGCCTGCGTCGTAGACGTAGTTTAACTTTATTTAGTAACGTCGGCGAAGTAGCACTTATATTCTTGTTCTAGGCCCCCAAGGGACTCGACGAATTACCGGAAGTGTGTTACGAATTTCTTTTCATCTTGATTGGAAAATCGACAATAGCTTTTTTAAAAGGCCAATCATTGCGCGTACTCAAATCCTGGTACTAAGGCGGGGGGCTAGAACACAGATTTCAGCGCTGCTTCGCAGGCAGACTTATCAAACCAGAGTTTAGTCTCGTCTGTAAAGCAGGCTGTCTAACGCTTGAAATGAAAGAGTTCTCTTGCAATCTCCATTGCAGGTAACAATAATCAAACGGAACAACATACCGTACCCAAGACTACCAGCACCCCTGCTCCTGCTAAGTTAGCACCCCAGCCCACCAAAGCGGCTGATAAAACCAGCATAACTCATACCATCCCGATACATACCACAACAAACAACCACACCAACACAACAAGCACACCGAAACAGGATGCGCAGACAAGCTCGACAACAGCTGCACCGACGCAAAAGAGTACAACGGAACAAAGCACCGTTGCCCCGAACATTGGAGACGTCTCCCAATCGGACGATTCGTCAGGTACAGTGAAAGTTAATGCTGAATACCAGACGGTATTTATAGAAGTAGACGAGAACGTTCTTTATTATGTGGCTGAAACTGCCAGCGGGCAAAATGAAGCGAATGCTGTGTCTTGTTGGCTTGCCCCCTAGGAATTTCCTGCTTTGATTCCGCTAGGAAAAGTTCTGTTCCTAGCCATATGTTAAATCCTTTATTGACCAGGCTTGCTTGGTCAAGGTGGCTGGAAATTGCCCTCGTTCGTTTTTGCGTTGTTATTGACCTGGACTTGGCCTCGTCCATTAAAACGCCAAATAAAGGAATTTGGCCAATATCCAGCAATCTTAATCTCAAGCTTGAACATGAAAATAATTATTTTGTGAGCATAGACAGACTTTTTCAGCGTTGAACTTGAAGAGGTGAATTTTTCTGATAGTCATTACAAAGTGTCCTCGTGAAAAGTTTCTTCTCTTCTTCCTAGAAACAGGAAAGAAGCATCGCAAACATCGAGCTCCCGTATGCATTGCGGGAAAAACCACAGATGACATTACTCTGCTACGAGGAAAAAAGGCGGGAAATTTTACGAACATTGGTGACGTGGGCGATTTCGGTAGGTGCATTAAGCGTTGCTGTCAGCAAAAAAATTGTGACCTGGCCTTCAAATCGTCAGAGACCTGCTTCCTGGTCAGTTGTTTTAGTAAGGAGTCGTGCAAGACCTCGCCTTCCCTGGATGATATATTTAGTCCCCGGATGTGTTTCGTCAGGAGGCATTTGCTGCAGAGTGAGAGAGGTAATGAATAACATTAAGGGCTGTGTAAGTTGCAAAGCCCGACTTCCATAGCTGAAGAAGAAGAAAGAAAACAAAAAACACAATATAACTAAAATGAATGTCTTTCACCCAGATCCTCATACAGTATACATCAACACACGACTTAAGGTCGGAATGAGGGTTTGAAGTTTCGAGAATGTATGAATCCCCAGACTGTGAAAACTAAACACAATACACAAGTTCTATTTTCATACAGACACCTCACTAAAGCGGAACGTTCTGCGTTTCCTAAAGATGCCAAACTCTTTTCTTCCGCTAAATATGCCCCGGGATCTTCTTTGCAGTATTCTTCTTATGCATGTTTCCGTCAACCTCGAGTACATGCATTTGACGACCAGGTCCCGGTTATTCAAAAGTTGGATAGCGCTGTCCACCATAGTATTAGGAAAACGAAATGCCCTATCCTTTGGATAGTAATTTATCAGTGGAGAGCGCTATCAACTCGCTATAAACGAGTTCCCAGGGTAGTAGAGTTGAAAACAATACCCATGCACAAAGTTTAAAAGTGCAAAACATTTTCTTTAGAAGGTGAACAAACGCATTCGGTGTATGGTTACAGCATTTATTGCAGTCTTGACTCTATCCATTGCCATCTGATAGCATTTGCTGCCTTTTGATAGCATTTATTGCCATTTGGAAGTATTTATTGCCGTTTCAAAGTATTTATCGCGCCATTCCCTGTCATTGCCTTTAAAAAGGCCCATTGTTATCTGGTAGAATTCAAATATAATTATTTTTCAGGGAGAGGTCATGACGATGACGATGATGATGAATGGAACGATAAAGTTTCTCCATCGGGTATGTAATTATATATAATACTTTGAGTATAAGAAATACGTAATACTAGAGAAGGTTAAGTTGAAAGGAGCTGTCGATTCCGTCTAAAAAGAAAAGACCCAACAAAACTTGCTTTGCGAGTTGAAATATAGCTGGCCTTACCCGTAAGCGACCACATGAATTGCCAGGATTTAGCGATCTCTTAAGGAATGTGATCGTTTACGAGTATTGAGCGAAAGGGGCCCCTTAAGTGAAGAGGACCGAGATTTCTACTCAACTATGCGAAGAAAGAAAGCACTGACAAGTCATCATTAAAAAAGCGCTTCGCACACTCTGAGCCGATCCTGGAGGACATTGGGCATGAGATAGAAAAGGAACGATAGATCGCTCATGATCACATCATTCTATTACTACGTTAGCTACAGGAAAGCTTTAGTCATCTGAAGACTTTTGCCTTCTCTGCACACGACTGATTTTACACTTGTGTACTGAATATCCTGGCCTTGAATGGAAGCGAGGCTGATGATGACCTTGTTTTGATAGGCCCTCAGTGCTTTTTAAGTGTAAATCACGTTCTTAAGGCTTCTATCAAAACGTGATAACTTTCAGCCTCGTTTTCACTCAAATAAGGCTTGGTTACTGGGCATACAACTGGGAATTAGGGTTTGCAACTTGTATTATATTACTTTGAGTTTTTTAGGAATTCAGGAGGAGTGTGAGGCCGAAAGAGCTTTAGGGATAATGTGGACGAAAACAGGAGCCGGGCATTATTCAAGACACCCGTGTCCACGTGAAGCTAAAGGTAGGGGAGACCCCTGGGGGAGACCGCTACATAGGGCTCGGGGTCAGGGTCACAAGGAGGAAACCAAACACCTGGGGGGTACTTTAAAATATTTAGGTGAGGCTTTTCTCAGGGCCTTGGAACCCCTACCCCGCCTTAGACTAATCAAAGCTCAAAATTAATTTGTACCATATCTCAGACCATAGTTAGTAGAGGAGACTGGTCTTGGAGGCTGAAAACGTCAAAAATGAATATAACGGAGCCGCAGTTTATATTGAGCGCTACCTGACTGTGCACAATCGTTGTTTAGATCTTCACAAATTTTGACTTAATAAATTAATTCGACGTTTCTGTCTGTCACTGAGTTAGATCAAAATGATTGGAATTACGTGCATGGTCAACTTCCACAAAAACCAAGTAGATATAATGACATCGTGTATTGGGCTTCATTATAACTGCAATTTATTAACTATGCTTAGAATTAAGAGTTTGAATTGTATACAGGCTCCATCTCAAACCAGTGGGGAAAAGAATGTTTTTAGGTTTCAGTAACTTTCTCGGCATTACTTCAACATCGTTTGTATTTTCGCGTGTTTAAAGTAACCTGATTTGGATAAGCTGAAATTCATAAAATAACTAACGGGCATAAGAAAATTACGTCTTTACCCATATTTAACCAAATGACGTTCTAAGCAATTTTCCGTCTTGCCAACCGTGCCTTCTAAACATTGTTTGTTGTTAACAGTATATTGAAATCTTACAACCTTGATAGGAATTTTTTTTATCTACTGACAAATACGCTACTATTGTGGAAAACCTTTTGGGATCACTGATTTTCCTTTTTCTTTTCTTTTTTTTTTTGCCAACTCAAATTTCTCTTTTTTTTTCTTTCCACTAGGTTTCGTTAAACGACGTTGTGAGGCTGATTCAAGATGGCTGCCGCCAAATTTTAGTGATTGCGTTTCTAATGATTATCAAGCGCTATTTGAAAAGGTAAAACAAAATAACCTTTCAAATTTTCAGCGGACTAAACATAAAGCAAACGGGTAAAGGAGAAACGTATTTTTAGATTAAAAGCATTACATTGCAGTAAAAAGTCAATGGAGCGTTTTCACTTGACGTCACCGACATATTGGTGTCCCAAGGCAATATAACGGCGGCCATATGTTGGTGTCCCAAACCAGTCCTATGGAAGTTGAACTCCTATCTTGTAAAGACTTTCTTTTGTCACGTAGATGCTGGTCACGTGAGTGTAAACGTTCTATAAACTCCATCTGGGGTTAATTTGGTGAAACTTTTACAAGTACAATTTACAAGTGTAGCTATTATTTTAAGGTCTCAAAACAATAGCTACATTTGTAAATTGCACTTGTAAAAGTTTTACTAAATTGACTCCTGGTTTAAATTTCACGTAGAACAATACAATAGCTGAAAGCAATTGGATTAACAGTCTCAAGAGGGGATTGCAAGTCACAGTGTTTTAAGATTTTCATCACAGGTTCACCCTTAGTTGAAAATGCAACTCAGTCTTAGCAACAAAACAAGCCTTGTATTTTTGCGAATGCAGAAAATTCAATAATAACATAACATACACCCAATGCAACAATGGCTGCTTGATTAATATTCTTTTGTTTAGATTAAATTTAGCCTGACTAGCCTCGCTTGAGATAAGGCATTCTTTTGAATTTTGTGCTTGAGAACGAGGCTAGTAAGGCTGATTTGAATATGTACGAAAGAATATGAACTACTCAGGCCATTTTTGCCTTGGGAATATTGTTCACTTCGGGTATGTATACTCTCATCAGTCCAGAAAGCTTGCCGGTGGTGCCGACCCCAGTCCCCTCATCCGGGAACTCTCACTGCTGACCACTCAAAACATCGATAACTCATTGATCTTTGGGGGAGACCTGGACCGAGCTTCAGATATCATGGCAGCCATTGTTCAACACAATGGTCAAACTGATTCTCTGGACATGACACGAGAGGACGTAGAGGTAACAATTGTTGTGCTGGAAAGACGTTCATACCATAAATGATCTAATTGACGCCCACTCTTAGATAAACGTCTCTTGTGTAACGCCCGACCCGTACCTCTAATGTTAAATTTGTACAGGAACCCCTTGTCCAATAGACGACCCCCCGTGACAATTACACCACAATAAAAAAAAGGAGAAAAAGGAGAAAAAATTATCTTCAATTTATTCAGTTACTTGCTTGATTAGCCTGTTCAATGTCAAGTTTAAAGAGGTTTAACGCTAACAACACAAAAATGACTCTGAATTAGGTTTCTGACATACCTCTAAATCAGAACTGTTAATTACGGAGTGGGTTTTTCCGTTAGATTAATGGCCCAAACGCAAACAGTACGAGCCCATGAAACAGGGGTGGGGCTAGAGGGTCTAAAGAGTCAGTTATATAGTTGTTCATGCAGGTCAAGAACTTGTTCCAATTGCAATTTCTCACTTCATGATGTAGAATATTTTCATCAATGGTCCTTCTTAACTGATGCCTTGCCGACGGTTAAGTAGAAAAGGTCATAAAGAGAGATGATGGACTTAAATCAATCACACACTTTTCTCATATACAATAAGGAATTTGTCTCACCGCAGGGAGACTAAAAGCAGGGTAAAACGGGCAACAAAAACGTGCAACTTGTTGGGCAACATTGCTGCAAAACGAGTTAAATAAAGAAGATACACGTTTTACCGCCCACGTTCAAACTTGTCTTGCAACAAATCAGGTTGTTGCAGAAAGTAGAGAGTAGTTCTACTTTTTACAATAAAATTTGTGTATGCTGCGAGTTTTACTGTCCCAAGGCAAACTTGGTTTGCAGCAAGGGACGTTACTAGGGTGTATGGCGTTACTCCCGCGTAATTTTATCCAATCAGAAGTCCGTATTCACACATCTTGCAGCAAACGCGTAACATCGTTTTTTAACTCCTTTTGCAGCAGTGTTGCAAATTTTGTTGCCCGTTTGGATGGATTTAGGTTTCTTGCAAACTGCTCAGCTACCCCTCCCGTAAGCTTACATTTTGCACTAAGTGAGAAGTAAGTGATAACGTTGGCTTCTGGGAGGAGTGAGTGGGCAGTTTCCCAGAAACCAAAATTGATCCGGCCGTCCTACCGTAGCTTAAGATACATGTACCAAAACTTGCCACGCGAAAGTAAGACTTACACCGAAGGAAGGCTATGGTGCATGCGCCAAAACTGTTGTCGGGAAATGAAGAAATCCATTATATTTTTTGTACATTTGAACAGAATTTTGTCAGGGCGAGCAGCAATCTCCTGGATATGACTAATCAACAAGAATGGTTCAACATCCAGAAGGTATGACAAATAGGCAAAGAATCTAAAGAAAAAGGTCTATTTCGCTATAAAGGAGCATCGAAAGGCAAGGTTCTAAAAAGTCTTAAGAAATATGCCTCCAGGTTTTGTCTGAAAAAATAGGAGGTTTATAGCGCGTAAAAAGCTCTGTAATATATGGCAGTAAGTTATAATTTCCACCTCATGAATGCTGGAAATTGTTTTTTGTGACCTGAAATGCTTTTTTTTACAACTGCTTATTAGTTAATCCCACACAGTAATTTTTGGGGAGTTATTTTAACTCCAAAAATTAGAGTAAAAATTTTAGGTACATGATAACCCCTTTTTGGGGGTTACTTTAACTCCTCAATGTTAACTTCTGAAAAAGAGTTCTTTAAACTCCTTTTTGGAGTTAAAATAACTCCGAAGAAGATAACTCCACCGTAAGGAGTTAAATTAACCCCACTAGAGGAGTTGTTATAACCCCTTGAAAATTACTGTGCAGTCGTTATTTATTTATATTTTTATGGTTCATATTCCTAAATATTTAAGTTTTCCCCGTTGTTATCCCATGAATTATTTACGAGTTTTTCATCCAGTCAACTTAGTAGTTATATTGTGTTTAATTACCAGAATAAACCAGGTAGTGCAGGTGTGCTTCGATTAATGGAAATGTTCGCGCTTCAAGCTGCCAGAAGACTTCCTCGCGAGGATATGGCAGATCCAGCCATCACCAATAACATCAGTGAGTTACAGTTAATGATACTCCTAAGGTTTTCTATTGAAGCTTTCTTGTGTCAAATGTCAGCAATAGATTGATATGTTGGCCTAAATAAGTCGGACTCGTAGCAAATGACTTAGCGTAGACTGGCACACATTGGGATATCCTGAACTGATAGTGTAAAACTCACGAGCTCGTGTAGCACACACTGTGCAACTTCATCCTTTACATGAAAACTTTGCTGCTGGTTGACTTGCATTTGACAAATACAGATCGTTTTCACCTTGCTAAATTTCTACAACGACATTTTTGGGTTGTCAAATGTATTTAACTCGTAAAATCTGAATTCTCGTACGCCTTCACAATTTTTTTATTTTTGTGCCTTCATAAGCCATTGTCAATGTTTGCTTATACGAGGCTTATTTTTTGCCATAGTCATCAAGCTGGACCGGAAGTCGCCTGGTGAAGGAGGTCTGACCTTCCCAGACTTCTCCAATCCAAGAATTGATCGTTGGGATGCAAGGCATGACGTCATCGCCCTACCTTCGTCTGTCTTTGATCAGGGTATGTAACAAAATGCAGAATTCCTGGTTGTAGAAACTACAAAGGTAACAGGTACGACCTTTTGGCGCAACGATTTCTGGGATAGTTTGGGTGGACAAGTGTCACTTATGATTGATTAATGCTTGCCTTGAACACCATCGACCAGTCATGACTAGCGATCCCAGAAATCATTATAGCTTCTGGAGTTAGGAATACCCCGCTCGGTTGCAAGTACGAATTTTTAACTTTGACCCTTTAAAATAATCAGCGGATCTGCAGTTCGCTTTATTAGCGGCCGGGGTTATTTTCATTAGCTGCTTCTTATTTTCATGAATGACGTTGTTGACTATGAACACCGTATAGATACCAACTCCTTTATTGCAGACACTGTAGGGACCTCGAATGCATGTCCTCAGTAGCGAGAGTCCATAATAGCGGGAGTTTATTTTAGTCAAACGTCTGTAATTTGTCTTTGCCGGGGATTTAGCTGCTGTCCGTATTATCGGGTTGTCTGTTAAAGCGAGGTGTCCGCAAGGCGAAAGTTGACTGTAGGTCGAACTGAAACGGAACAGAACTGGAACAGGTCGTTCACATACGGGTACATAGAACATCTTGCCGGAGTGGTTGGTCGAGAGGGTTATGTTGCCTAAATTCCATTCCGATATATTAAAATTCATACTTGACTGCGAGGCTGGGGGGAATAAAACAAAAGAAATTATCTTGAGGCTCAGCAATGAATAATAGATTTCTTTTGTTTTATTCCCCCAAGCCTTGGAGCCAAGTATGAATTTTAATATTTCGAAAATGGTCTATTCTCACCCCTGAATATTTACTTTCTTCTCGGTCGGTTCCAGTCCTCTTTCCCACTTATTAACCTCCGCTACAAGCCGAATACCTGTTCACACCACAGCAAGGTGTGGCACAGAACCTATACGATAAGCGGCGTTCCACTCTCGGGATCGGCCCGGCGCAGCTTCGCTCCGTTACAGAAATCGCGCCAAAATCACCGTTCTTATGTGTGAACAGAAGCCCTACCCGGTATGGTTTGGTGCCGGTGCAAAAGCCATTCGGTGTAGTGTGTACATTGCATGCCTTATAAAGCTCATGAAGGTTTCTCTGGGCATTGGGAATTGCTCGCTCGGAAGCTATTGTTTGGTGGTCACTCAAGCAAACTTTTGCAGTTAGTTTCGTACGCCCAAATGCCCAATGCCTAACTTCAATTGACCAATTTCCAAATCAACCTTTATTGAATTAGGTATATATCAACTCGAGGATAAGTATTGAAACGAACTGAAAACAATGTTCGTAAGAGCAAACAATCCCTTTGAGTTTACAATGTGCTTTTTAATCTCTGGTGTCTGTAAGAAGAATCATATAATGCAGTCAAAGTCCGTCAGTACGGACATTAGGGACCTTAAGCAAAGACGTTTTTGAGCCACGCACGTCAACCGGAAGTGAGGCCTTCTCCCTTTTTATATGCCTTGACGCTAACAAACTTGTATTGCTGAGTTTCTTTTCTCTTTTAAAGACGATTTACCCGAGAGTTTCAACCAAATCATTCCCCAGTGATTCAAAAAGTCCACTTCCGGTTGACGTCCGTCGCCCAAAAACGCTGTTGCTTAAGCTCCCTACTGAGACACGGGCACTGACCTCTACGGGCTGTAGAAAGTGTCCGAATTAAATAGGTGTCCGTAAAGTGTTCAATAAAAGTACTTGACGATTATGACAAAGTTTTTAAACATTTAGACTTTTACCCGGAACACTCCCTTGAGTGTTTGATATGGCCTCTCGAACTATCGTGTGCCCCTAGTCTTAATAAGACAGGTCCGTTATTATAAGAATCCCTTCACTGCAAGACGTGTTGAAAAAGCTTTTATTTATTACTCTCTCTTTCTCTCTCTTTTTTTCCTTAGGAGAAGTAAGTACAGCCAGCATCAACTTCAAAAGTTTGCCCTATTTACTCCCCGACACAAATGTTAGGTACGTTGACACACCTTCTTCTTGTTCAACACGTTTCCTAGAAACGTCGTGATTTAACTCGTCCATATAGTGAAGAATCATTGCTGTTGATGATGGAGACCATTTTTTAGAATCACGTCAACGGCCAACTCAATTTGACAATTTCCTCAAAGCAGAGAATGAGCGAATAAAAACTGTCAAAACTAGCTCTTATTGATAAACCTGACATGAAACTATTAATACTATTAAACATGAAACTATTATTACTATTATATTAAACTGAGCGAATCCTCGCGCGCTCATTGGTCGAGAGCTATGGTCTGTGAGAGTATAGACCATGGAAATGACGTGACATATCACGCATCGCCGGTTGTTTTGTTTTTGGTTTTTCGTGATAAAATAAATGTTATTGTAAAAAACAAATCGACCAGAATTTCCCATTGTCTACACTCTTATAGACCATAGAAATGACGCCATAAAATGTTGCATTGAAACCACTCGCCTGCGGCTCGTGGTTCCACTTGAGTTTTGTACATTTTAAGACGTCATTTCTATGGTCCATAAGAGTGTAGACAGTGAAAAATTGTGGTCGATTTGTTAATTGAGTAGCATAATTTAGAAATGAGCAGTAAACTACAAGTGAAGGGAAAACTTGCGATGGGGTACAAATGAACGTTTCGGCTTTTTGTCGCAAACATAGTTCTAAACCTCTCTAACTATCTACTCTTATAACTTCCCGGATTGAGTCAACACTGATTCTGGAGGGGAAATAAAAAGTGCACTACAAATTTATAACGCTGGCGTGGAGCAACCATAGCTTTAGGAATATTATTGTACCCTTTGTGGTCTGGACGCTAGTCAACCACAGGTTTATACCGTCAAGCGATGTTGCTGGTTCCCAGTTTTACAGTCAAACGGGGAAAACCGTAAACACCAGAAATATTTCTGGAATGTTATTTTGTTCAAGAAAAAAGCCAATCAGGCGTGAGAAAACTAAACCGCAAACAAGGACGTTAATTTGTTTGTGGTTTTGTGGCCAGTTCACGTGTCCTGATATTTGCTGTGATTGGTCATAACCCAATAAACATTCCTGAGATATGTCAAGCGTTCTCGGTTTTCCCGGTCGCAGTGTAACGTCTTGACGGGTTGCAGGGAGACAATTGAACAAAGTTGTTGTTGTTTTTTTTTTACCTTGACCAAGCAAGCCTGCGCGCAGACGTCTCCTGTGCGCTGCAAAGGAAACACTTGTAACGTGCACGCAGGCTATGACCAACCTTCACCTATGAAGTCCAACGATAAATACGTAGACCACACCACCCCTCGAAGGGATAAATCACATTTCAGGAACTTACTCTCTAAGGGCCTGTTTGCATGGAGGTGTGTGACCCCAGATAGGTGAGGTAACATGTGTCGAGTCACCCCACCTTTCATGTAAACGGGATCAAGTTATAATGAGAGATTATATAGACAGACGGGTTACCCCACCTAAGCGGGTTACCTCGCCTACCTGAGATCCCCCACCTCCATGTAAACAAGCCCTAAAAATTATCCTTTTTTTCACAGTTCCGGTCTTGGTCCTAATTCCAAAGTGATATCCATAGTGATGCACCCCCACCCGCAGGGGAAGATCACCCCTCCCGTGACAGTAGTTCTTACTCATATCAAGGTATTGTAGGCCATAAAACTTGACTTCGGTACTGCATGTCTCAAAATACGGTAAATTATAAATCAAGTACTCCTCAAATTGCTTTAAGCAAAAACGTAATGGGTAGACACTCTCTATTCTTCAATTGTTCATCCGCTAATCAGGGTGCAAAGAAAGTCATTTTTACAGCGAGCTTGCCATTCGGGCAAGCTGAAGCTAACATTTACTAGCCCAAACGTCATTTCAACTACCCACAAAATTTTTGATTTAACAGTTCTTCTGTAAGGTGAATTCCTCAAACTGCATTGTACTTGCCCGTCGGGCAAGTGAAGAACAGAATTTACTAGCCCGATAGCAAAATCCGCTAGCCCCGGGCTATCGGACACTACCTTCTTTGCACGCTGGTTAATTCTTCGATTATGGTTTCAAACAATACCCAATTATTGTTAAAGGGAACTCGGTAAAACCTATTTTTCTTCTTGGCCAATTATACGCTGGTTAATTTTTTCGATAATGGAATGTTCAATTTTTTTTTTTTTTTTTTTTTTTTTTTGCTTTTCTTCATTCACCGCCGCCTGGTTAGCTCAGTTGGGGAACGCCGGTTCAAACCCCGGCCGGAAACCTAGGGTCTTTTTTCTTCTTTGTAATAATATCTGCAAACGGCTAGACTTCCTAGTCTTCTCGGATAAGGACGATAAACCGTAGGGTCTCACAAGCCCTTGCACATGTATTAAAGTAAAAGTAATGGAATGTCAGTGGCTATCTTTTCCTTGTTCATGTATGGGGCATCATTACTCATTCCTTTTTTTTTTTTGGCAAAGTCCCCAACCAGTGTTTTGAAAAGCCCTGAGGGGAGTGGATAATAAGATATTTACAATTTACAATTTACATTCAATTGTTTGTTTTTACTACTGGATGCGATCATCGTGCTAGAGAAATCTTTTGACCTCAGGTGTTTTATCATTATCATTCTTATTTTCTTCATCTTCATCTTCATTGCATTTGCATTTGTATAATCATTATTATAAAAATTATCATCATCATCGGCATATTTTTTATATATATATGTAGAGAAGAAGAGGAAATCCTAAATGCGTTTTTTGGGATTACACATTGAGGTAAGAAATATCATATGTGTTGTAATTTTTTTGGTAGGATTAATTACAGACGTTTTATTATTTTATCTAAAAAGAAAAAACAATAAAGAAGGAGATGTGAATAGTAATCTTCAACTCTTCACTAGATCTCATCAGAAAACTAGCGAAATGCAAGAACTTGAGTAAGTAGATGCAGAGGCAAAGTTAACTTTGAGAAAAATAACAGTGGGTTTCTTCTGTAAGTACTGAGACGGTACCTGCAGAATGACCCTGACAATGTTTGTTTCATCACCAGTCCCCATAGAGGCGGGGCGTGGTCGTCACGTGGTTGTTGGTTGGCGTTCAATAATCATTCTCACTCGATCTGTCAGTGCAACCATCTTTCAAACTTTGCAGTTCTTATGGATCTCTCATCAGACGAGGTAAGACTTGTCACTAGCTAGCACTAGCTAGTCCAATCAAATAATCAAACTAAAGGACTGATGAGAAAAATCCTCCTCACTGAGAAAATTTAAGGAGCTGAGTAGCGACTCACTTTGACCGGAAGTGAGGCCTTCTCACTATATATATATGCCTTGACGCTAACAAATTTGTATTGCTAAGTTCCTTTTCCCTTTTTAAGACGATTTACCTGAGAGTTTAAACCAAACCAATGATGCAAAAAGTCCACTTCCGGTTGACGTTCGTCGCTCAAAAACGCTGTTGCTTCAGCTCCCTAAAGAGCTCCCTAATAGTGGCGCAAAACATTTTTAAACCGGGTGTAAATAGCACAGCAAATACAAAAGGAGGCACAGTGGACAAACGTGAAGAAAACTTGTTAGCCTCACAGTTATTCAAAGTTCATTCTTTTTGTCTTCAACGTTTAATAAAATGCTTGGGAGACGCTGTATAGTGTTTAACATGAAGAAGTGAGCTGGTCATTTGCAAGCAATTTCTTTGCTAACGTTAAATTCCATTGCGAAAAGTAACCGCTCAAAACGTTAAAAGTAGGATTCACATTCAGATTGTTTATTTTTTACTACAAAATTTACAATACATTACAAAAGTTAGAAAATAAATTACATAAAACATCAAAGGTATAATGTGCGCAGTGACCAAAGGAACTCAGGCTTTCGAGTCGGTCACTGTCACTGACTAACTGGCATAGACATTTACATAAATACTACAAGTAACGTATAAAGGAGGAAGGAAAATTAAAAGTGCATAAAGTCTTACTTACAGTTTTATATGAAAACAATAAGTGTTAACATGTGTAACATAAGCATGAAATTACATTGTTGTTTTGTCTTGCTTCTTTGTTCATTCGTTTGTGTATTTGTTTATTTATTACAGCTTATATATTTCTTCTTTGTGTGTCTTTGTGTGTATTTGTTTATTTATAACAACTTTGATATGCAGTTTCTTTTTTTGTTTGCAATATCGATTTATTATTGACTTAAAATTGAACCAATTATTTCGAATGTCTTAACACTTTGAATTTTAATGGCCAATAAGGATTGTTGTTGTTATTGAAGTTCTAAAAACTAGGGACCGGATAGTTTTAAAAAGCTTAAGGGCCTGTTTACGGTGATAGGTATTATGCAGAAAATGCTACCAGCCCTATCTGTCCATCCCTTTAGGGTAGAAATAGGTGCTATAAACTCAAATTAACAGCAGCAGCACTTAAAGGTTTTCAACGGAATGAATACTTTACCCGGAAGCGCGTAAATTTAATACAATCACTTCTTTATAGAGTTTGCAAAAGGAACAAAAGAGAGAGCGGACCATGGCGCTCATGTGGATTGGTATTCCTGTGCTGATCGTCGGAGTCATTGGAGGATTGTACATGTCCTTTAGTTGGTAAGATTGCGTAATGTAGAGGACAAATAAGACGCTTAAAACACCGTTTCTTATTTAACATGGCTAGATGTCAACCCTTTCTAAATACATTTTTTTCAATTACCAGGAACAGAAAATCTGGAATACCCAGCACTGTTACGAGGCCGTCTACTTCGCGTAAGTATATCGTTTGGTCATTCAGATTGTGTAGTTTCAAACTACAGATGTAATATAAACCTCAACCGTAATAAAAGTTGTCGGTTAGTTGGCTGTGCAATTAATTCTGAACTTTAATATATTTTTTTTAGCAACTGAAAAGATAATAGTAGCGACTAGAATTTGGATATGGACATCATCTAATATCTTTTTCAATTTCTTAGCACCGCCAAAGGATTGTACACACCTTCATAAATTAGATAGCCATTCAAAGAGAAGCTGTCACAATCGAGCTATTCCACGTTATTCACCGTTCACCAAATCTATAAAAAAATTTTTTTTTCAATTGGGTATTTCATGTAGCTTCGGGCAAGTCAAGTCCGATAGATTGTTTCACTCACGAGGATAGCAGCTATGTAAATTTTGTTGGAACAAAAGAAAGGTTTTACTTGCAAAATAGTTCAATCCCCACGGGATTTTTTTTGTAGCACTAATATGGCCGCCGTTTCATTGTTTAGGTTAACCAATATGGCCGCCGTTTCATCGTTTAGGTGCACCAATATGGGCGCCGTTTCATTGTTCAGGTGCACCAATATGGCCGCCATTTCATTGTTTAGGTGCACCAATATGGCCGCCGTTTCATTGTTTAGGTGCACCAATATAGCCGCCGTTTCATCGTTTAGGTTCACCAATATGGCCGCCGTTTTATTGCTTAGGTGCACCAATGTGGCTGCCGTCTCATTGCCTAGATGCAGTACAGCACCAATACGGCCGCCGTTTCATTGCTTAGGTGCACAAATACATCCCCCGTTTCATTGGTTAGGTGCACCAATATGGGTGTCGTTTTATTGTTTTGGTGCACCAATATTCACTTACGAGTTAACTATGGCTCGTGATAAATTTTATTGATTTCACCTTATTATATTATTTTATTGTAGTAAACGAAAAAACTGGTTTGCTCGGACAAAGAGTGGTAACCAGCCAAGTTCGTGAGGAATTTCCAGCATCACCAACACGGGACTTGTATCGTGCGCTGTCTCCTGGGTATTCACCGACTGGTGACCTTGAATGGCAGGACGAATTTGATTTTGATGTTGAGTCTGGTGACCAGAGATTCAAACAAATGCTTCTACCGAAGCTTCAGTTGTTGCAGAATCAGCTGATTAATGAGTTCTGCGATGCCAGCAAATTGGAGACGAAAAAGAAGATTTTAAATTCCAAGGTAAACGCGATTCCTATTCTGTTTCCAAATCAACCTTGTAAAAGCTCCGATATAAAGGACCACTGTAAATAATTAAGTGAAATCCTCAAGAAATACCGTGGGAAACTTGAGTGTCTAATCTTTGAAATGTTAATTACAGAGATAAATTTTCATTAGATACATCCGAGGGTCACATGCGTTATTGATAGTCCGCGGAGACTATCAACAGATACCCTTGAAAAACAAAGAATCGATTGATTGATTGATTGATTGATTGATTGACTGATTGATTGATTGTTTGAACTACTGATTGGGCTTCACATTGTCTCCTTCTCCCTACTGCGTGCATGAGTACTGTTGTTGTTGTTTTTTGTTTTTGATTTTGTTTTGTTTTCTTGTGTTTTTTTTGGTTTTTCTTTTGGGAGGGGGGGGGTTAGCCCTGCGAAAGGTGAGCATACCCCTTTAAAGTGGGTACGTTCCAACCGACTGGTTATCATATTTTTTGCTATCGAATGTGTGATTATACTTACTGACATTACACATAGTGAGTTTTGATCTAAACAGTATTTAGAAATATTGCGCTGTTCTGTATTTCGTAAATAGCTTGAAGAAAAGACAGAAATGGAGAAACATTGTCCAAATCAGAAAGAAACCGATACAGTAGTTGAGCAACAAAAGGTAACATTAACATTATGTTTATGGAGTTTAGAAATTTAAAGTGATTAGTCGTGTTTTATTAAAAGGCTAGTTGTTGTGTTTGTATGACTGTAATAAAAAACGAACAACTCATCATCGACAACAAGAATGTTTTATTGGTGACTCTTACGTTTAAAGTAAACTCTTTTCCAAACAGGCCCAACTAAAACCAACCAAAACCAGGGATTCTGTTGAACGTGAGCCACCTCGAAAAAGAATAAGACAATCGGTAAGAGAATGTTCTCTTTTTAACTATAAAAAAACGTTAGAGCAATGAAATTATGATATTTTAGCAGCGAAAAAATGTGTCCTCAAGTCCGTAATAAGGAAACTTTGTCTCAGCTTAATTTTGGCCGGCGATGCCTCCTTTCTCCTTCCAGTAGAGGGGTGAGGGGTGGGAGAAGGATTAATCCATGATTTTCACTGCTACGAGACCTTAAATAACAAAACTACTTGGAAATAGGTTTCTGTTAGTCAAACGATGAAATCAGCACCGGTACTTTACGTGGTAACTTGTCTGCCAAGACACTGTTTCATATTCACAACAAACATTTCTGGTAACCTATCGGTGAGAATTTGTTCACGTACATGCAGATTAAAAGACGTGAATAGTGAACTATCATCATTAGTAGTAGCCTACGTGTAGCCATGCACACCCTCTCCGTTTTTTCTTTGTCGGGGGAACGGTGCGGCTACACGTAGGCTACATTAATAGTAACACAATGGTAAAACTATCCTAATGTGACACTACGTCTCCTATTTTCTAAAGCTGCATTTATGTTATTGGAACTTAGTCAATATGCGCGAACCTTTAAACACAATGTTATCACTTGTAGAGAACTTCCTCGAGCGCGAAACTTCGAGTACGGTTTGCAGATGAAAGTCCTCCCAGTAAAAATCGAACCGATGAAGATAAAGAACGCTTTAAAAGGCTTCAACAAATGGAAAGAAGGTAGTATTACGCGTGCGGTTGTTTGTTGTGGTCGATGTTTCTCTGTCTCTATGCCTTTGTTTTTGTTGTTTTCTGTTGTTGTTGTTGTTGTTTTCTGTTGTTGTTGTTGTTAAAGACAATTCCTTGTGCTATTAAAGCAAACTGAGGTCAACTTGTAAGAAACTTCAACTTTATTTAGTAAAAACGTTTTAAATTTACAGTCGACTGCATGGCCCGCGAAATAGCAATTGCTAATCTAGACGGCCCAGTTCAGGAAAGAGAAAAAATGAAGGGAAGGGAGATATTTTAAGCTACTACAATTATTATTTTTATCATAGTTTTATTATTACAATTACAACTAAGAAGAACGAAAAGGAATGGACGATAAGAAACTCGGCTGTTTTCAGGATGTTACTAAAGCGTTGAACGGGACCGGGAAACGGAAAAATCAAACAAGGGAAGCAATAACTTTATCACCCATGCTCCATTTTATTCCCATTTTTCCTTTTTTCCATTCCCTGTGGTCGTTACCCCTCCCCCGTTCCTAGTCTAATATCTGCCATTTTAAATGTTTGTATAGGTAACAGCATGATTAGCAGTGATATTTGGCATATATAAATACCACGAGTGATATTTCAAAATTGTTATACGTAATTTAACGAGCCGTTAGGCGAGTGAAATTTGACACAATTTTGAAATATCACGAGTGGTATTTATGCCAAATATCACGTACAAATCATGCTATTATTTGTTTATACATGTACTACTACCCGTAAGAGGTTTGTAATTTTCACATGTAGGTATTTCAAATTAAGCTGAAATACCACTGCTCTATATTTCAGATTGCATCAAATTGCAGAAATTTGTCATGTAGTAGTATAAATGATGAAAGCTCTCACACTGTATCTTCAAATCGCGTATCGTCATGTACATGGCATTCAACAACGGCATGTTCTTCTAATGACTTTATTACACAGCATATAGAGTAAAAATTTTCTATGGAATACTTGGTTATTCCTCCGATTTATTAAGATATTTTTAAAATAATATTTTGTTACACGTAACCAGTTTTTAATTGTTTTTATGTTTTCATAACCAATGAGACAGCTCACTAATTCGCTGCCTTTCATTTATTTTCCAGAGTTTTCGCTCAACATCTTACCAGATGGACAGGCAACAGCCATCTTAACTTATCAGAATAGTATTATAAACTGTAATTATTGTTAATACATATAAATACACTTGGGCACGACGTAGTTGAAATTACCACATTAGGAAATATTTTATACTGCTTTTAAAATAAACACTTGATATAAAAAAATATACCATAGACCACCATGTTTGCAATATACACTAAGATAATATAGGTGGTTTTCACGTTACGTCATCGCCGCCATGCTGGTGGACGGTAAACAAAAGATCGCTCATTAGCTCGCTTTGTTTGTCCACCAGCATTTGTTCATTTCACCATTGTTTTTTGTGTCTCCCGAGATTGCATGAAAACCACCTATACACTAAGAACGCTCTTTTTGAGTAGAATTCATCGTTGAGGATGAGCCGGGGAAAAACTCAAAATATAGTTCAGGCTGAAGTACAGTCAAGAAAATAGGCTATTTCCGAGTTCCAAAAATTCCCGCTTTCAAAACGAGGGTAAGTGCAAAACCTTTCTTGTGAAAAGGAGTTTTATTTGCATGAGAATATATATAATAGATCATTTTCACATCAATAGCTTCGCACCTAGCCTCGCTTTGAAACAGAGGCTTGGAGCATCACGGAAGTGGCCTATTGTATACCACCAGCTCAGTTCAAAAGGAGCAACGTAAAGATACTGCCGTGAGGAATGCATGTGCAGTAAGCGTTTGGATGATAGTATGCATTTGGTATGCAAGTGCTATAAAGCTCAATCGAATCCAATAGTCACCCGGTTACAGTCAATAATCGACAATAACATATGAGCAATGTCGTTCCAAGAGTAATGCAGTTTTCGCCATAACGCGTCTAAGAGAATCAAATCTTCTGTTTGAAAAACATCTCTTATAATTAACGTTTTGAGGTTCACATCTCACCAATTATAAAAGCCGTCAGTTCTGGCTCAGTCTCAATGGAAAATTAGATTATAAAAGAGAGAATGTTAAAATTGTAGGCTTTCACACCAATTTTTTTTTTTTTTAATATTTGATATCATTTCATATTTATAAACGTTCCGTGAAGGAAAGAAACTTTTAATGCATGCAATTTTTGCGAACATTGAGTCGAAGCAATAAGGTCAATTGTTTCTTATTTGACTGCGATCAAAATAGACCGCGAAAAAGGTTGCAAAACCACTCCACGAATCTGCGCTCACAGGGAAGTTACTCTTCAATAACGTTTCTATGAATAGTCACACTCTTGGATTTCATTCAAGGAAGCAAACAGCAGGACCATCGTCAACTGCACCAAAGAAAAGTACTGCTCAGTAGCTTTTATTTGAATTTCTTATCCCACAGGATTTCAGTTATCCGCAGACAAAATACCACAACCACCTTGTACAGTGTAATAAAAAGTGTCACAGGAGAGTACTGCTCAGTAGCTTTCAAGTGAATAGTCACACCATAGGATTTCGTCCGCAGACTCAAAAGTTAGAACTACCTTGTACAGCATAATAAACAGTACCACAGGAAAGTACTGCTCAGTTGCTTTCATTTGAATGGTCACACTATAGGATTTCATCCACAGACTCATTGGTTAGAACCACTTTGCACAGCATAATAAACTACCACAGGAAAGTATTGCTCAGTAGCTTTCATTTGAATGGTCACACTATAGGATTTCATCCACAGCCTCATTGGTTAGAACCACTTTGCACAGCATAATAAACAGTACCACAGGAAAGTATTGCTCAGTAGCTTCCATTTCTATGGTCATACGATGCAAAGTTGCCACAGGGAAAAAAGAATAACCGAAAACTAGTTGGTTTTAAAATGTTATTCACAGATTTGGGTGAAAACCATATTGTACAGCGCATGGTCGACAGCATCCTATACTAGCAGCCGAGTAACACCCTTCAATCCATTTAACCATAACTATTTCATCCTCGGATGTAAAATGTTTGCTTGACGACCCCACTTTTACCTTTTTAGCTTTGTCGTCGAATTACAAAGTCAAAACTAATGAAAAATATAAGTTTTTACAAGACTTTGGTAATTGTTTTAGCATCATAGTAAATAGTTTAATTTGTAAATATATCATGATGGTTTTATACGGCCTATTTTATACAAATACGTTGATCGAGAATAAACTGTTTTAAAAGTCACGGGCATTTTTTTTTTCTTTTCCTTTCTTTTCTTTCTTTCTTTTTTTTTTTTTTTTTTTTTTTTTTTTTTGTTTTACCATAGTGCAGATAACGAACTTTGGTGCGAGTTAAACGTCGAATTTTTGGTCTGGCCACAGGGCCGGGGGAATTGTTTGTGACCTTGATTGCAATTTCAAAATTTTTGCAGTTGATTCGCCTTTCTTTACTATAGAATCGAAGGTATGAACTCCTTTAGATTTGCGACATAAATGTAACGAAATTACAGCGTGATCGGAATAACCATTGTGAATGTTTTTTGTTTGTTGTTGTTGTTGTTGTTTGTTTGTTTGTTTTTTAACAAGAGAGGTGGTTTTTAATAGAGTTTTGGATGTTCCCACGACAAACTGAACTCCTCGAGACCCTGTTGGCTCACTCATTAGCATTAGGCTCATCTTAAGTGAAGTTCGACGTTTGACCGAAGGCGTTTGATCCTGGCCAGATCTTTGTAGTCTTATTATATTCTATCATCCAGTGTCTCTGTTTTCTTCTTTATCGTTCTTTTGTCCTTTTGCCTCTTCTCTTGTGGCATCCGCACAGACCAGACAGACATAGTAGGGAGTTTTAGTATAATTAACGACGGCCATTTCTGCAAAAACGTCATTATTAAAATGAATTATTTAAAAAAGAAAAAGGATCTTTTGCAGTTGTAAGGCATTTTTCCGGAGTTGAATTCTTGGGAAACACACTCAATTTTAGGAGGAGAAAGAAAAAAGTTTTCTTTGTGGGTTTCTCCGTAAGACGTTACATAAGGAAATTTCACTTCTTATCCGTGCAGTGACAGCAAAGAAATACACATGCAGAGTTATTGCTTATTTTTTAGAAACCTTCTGAATCTTTGACTTTCTCGTTTTCCATGCCGTCGTCGTTGCTTGCTCCCTAATATTAGCCAGCTTAAGCAACGACGACGGCGAAGTTTACGAAAATGTCGCTTAAAAAGTGAATTCGCGCTGCTTCAAACTTAATCGCGCTTATTCCATCTCGTTCAACTCGTCAAATGTTGGCAGATTTTTCTGACGTTTAATTCCGAAGGACTGTAGCGAAGTTCAAGAAAAGGAAAAGAGAGTAGTTGTCTTGTGTCCACGTCCTTCAAAAAACGTGAAACTAGGAAATTTCACGTCGTAGTCGTACAGTGACGGCAAAGAAACGTGCAAACTGCACGTGCAAAATTGTTGTTTTGCCAATCTAAACCTATTGCTATTTTACCGTACTCGTTGCCATCGCCGTTCTCGTTGCTTAAGCTCCCGAATATCCCAGACTAGCCAAGTCCCAATTTTAAGTGGTGATAAGTTTTATCGCCGCTACACTAATATGAAATCTATGGACATTATATTAACAAGGCAAAGAAAAGAAAAAGCGACCGCCCTTGAAATGATTAAACAGACATCAGTTAAAAAGGCAATAGTACGCCGGCTTTCATGTCACTGCCTCTCTCCTTCTCGTTCCCCTTCCCATCATACCCCGCGGGCTTTCTTTTTTTCTTCTCCCCAGTCTCCCTGCTAAGTGGCTCAGCGAGACCTTGGCGGAAGAGTGTGTTCAGCTGCGTTAAGTTTTCAAGCGCCCTGGAGGTTTTGTTACACGACTTATTGCCCGCATGATGACAAGGTATGTACCATATGATTTCATGAAGCAGAAACTTTCTTTTTTTTATCAATTAGCGCGCAAATTCTACCTTGTTTGCGGGAGAGTCGGCGGGTGAGAGCCGCTTATACATTTAAAAGTGTTAGTATTTCAGCCGCGTTGCAATGAATTTTACAAACGTGGAAGACGTTGCCAGACGTAACAATAGCTCAAAACTGCATGTATCGAGTCTGTATTAAGAAAGTCAAGAATACCGTTCACGGTAAACATCCTTTTACCTATTTATTTCGCCTTAAGTTGATTTATTTGTTGAATTCCGTTTGTAAAAATCACAAATATGGATATTGTTGTTGATATGCAAATGATTCCCGGGAGCAAATCAAAAAGTGAGTTCGCGCTGTTTCAAACTTCATCGGTTCAATTCCATCTCATTCAGTTTGTCAAACGTTGGCGAATTTTTCTGGAGTTGAATTCGAAAAGACTGTCTCTAAGTTCAGGAAAGGAGGGGTAAAATCGTCGTCCTTTGTTCACCTGCATAAAACGTAAAATTATGAAGTTACGAGCTTGTAGTCGCGCAACGACGGCAAACAAAGAAATGCACAAACAAGCGTGATGCACGTGCAGTTTTTGTTTCGCTAATCTTTCGTCTTGCCTTTTTGCCGTTCTCGTTGCCGCAGTGCGCAACAAAGTAAAAATGAATATGCGAAAAAAGAAACACACACACACACACACACAAGATAGTCGCGCTAATTACCTGGCCGGAGGAAGAAAGAAGTGGAGCTGACCGTGTTTTTAAGCTTCATATAACTCAAATTAACTGCGCATTGCCACGAAATTTCATGATAGCATCTCTTTAGAATGCCAATATACCTATTTTTTTTTAGTCCTGAGGATAACTTAGATTCAATGACCTCTTTCGCAGCTTGAGAGAAAATCGGAACTTCCATAGGCATTTGAAGGATACGCCACACGACTCTTGGACGAATTTTTGACCAGCTGAAAATTCGTGAGTTTAAGTGTTTGGGTTCACACGGAACCATCCTAACCCCTCGAAAATTTCAGACGCCTAGCCAATCAAAGTTCTGTGTGAACAGATCAAAAATGTTGAACGGTTCTATGTGAACGAAGCTGCCGGTCAAATTTTTTAGCCGGTCGAAAATTCAACCAGTGGCTTATGTGAACGTGACCGAAGATATATAGTTAATGGTTGTGGTATACTCGTTGTCGATTTAAGGGTATAGAGTATCTCTTTGGAGGGACTAGAAAGCAGTTTATTGCGGCCATAGTTTCCGTCATCAGCGAAATCCCATAGACTATAGACCCATATAGGTCATGATCACGTCCTCACGTATCGTTTTGGAATCGTTTTCGCCTGAACACACCTTTCTGTGTTTGTTTCAAAACGGATAATTTTGATAGTGGAGCTCCTCAAGCGCGCGAAGCGCGCGCAGAGCGGAGCACCATAAGTAAGAAAATTTGGTACA